GTAAATCTAGATTAAAGGCTGGTAGTAGATTTGTCAACTTTTCTGGCTGAAGGGCTGCCTTTATTGCCCGGTGAGAATTGTGTGAGGAAACAACATGCAACTAACTCCCTCTTACCAACATTTCATTCCTGAAACATCTGTTAGCTAATTGGGTTTTTTCCACCCCCTTGCACCATCCTTGGTGGATAAAACCTCATCATCTCTGTGTCACTGGTTTCCAGACTGTTCTGTTTATTGTGAACAACAGAATTTTCCAATGAATATTTCTGAAAAGAAAAGATTGCTTTACAATGGAACATGTGATTCACTTTATTTGGTCTTAGCTTGCACTGATTGATTCACAGAACTTTCTATTGAACAACTGTGTTTTTCTATAACATTTATAGAAACATCTATAGCAATCACAGAGCTCATGTCCTCACGAAGTCTCAGAGCACTCCCAAGTACAAAACCTAATACTAATAAAGATATCCAATTGGCTTGAATTTAATGACTTCAATCTTGTGCTCATAATCTTGGGAATGGAAATGCCAGATTTTATTTTCAAAAGTAAAGTTTTTTATTATCATTACCTGGAAAAGTAAAACCACATTAGAAGAACATCATTTTTTTGTAAAGTCATCTGTTCAGAGGTTAAGAAATGCCAGATGAAAACTTGATGTGCAGCTGCAAAAATCTGTTTCTTTATTTTACCTAATGACTATCTAATATGAGTTACTTAAAAGGCCTGCAACAGAAGCTGAAACACAGGAGTCTCTGGTTCTATTAATTTTCAGTAATTGTACTGCAAAAATATACACTTATATTAGATCTTGTATTAGAAGAGCTTAGTCACAGAGTTTCAAAACTGATCCTGCATCAGAGAAGTGAGTAGTCTGGTGGTGATAGCATTCTCCTGCATTTGGTTGCATATTGCTCACAGGTCATCATTCCCTAAACAAACTATCTGGCACCAAAGCCAATCTGAGACAAAACCTGCCATCTCTTACCCTTGGCTGCTTGTTCCTGCTCCTCGGCTGTGCCAGTACAACGATTTGTACGGCTCTTGCAAACCAGATGACCAAAGTGCTTCAGTCTACAAAGCAGCCTTTCAGTCGCAGGGGCACAACTGAGGGACAGTGAACAGCAGTGCCGGCAGAGAGGAGAAAGGGAACATTTTCAGCTGATTTTTCCATTACAGAAAGTGTGATGTCAAACCTTACCCACAGGCAGAGGGGAATTTTAACACAGGACTTGTACATCATAGATGAGTGCTCTAACCAAAGAACATCAGATGAGAGAGTCCCTTGAATTCTTGTGTTGGAAAAGAAAAGCATGATCTTTTTTTCATTTAGAAAAGAAAAAGGGTTGGCACCTGCCTTCTGGTTAGGAATTTGAATTTTGAATCTGAAACAGAGAGAAACTTCTCCCAATAAGCAGCAGTAAGGGGGCTTTTAAAGCTTATCCCTGGATCTCTTTTTTTTTTTTTTCTTTTCATTTAGCTGAGTACTGCAAGCTTCTCTTAGAAGTTGTGATCGATCTACTTACATGTACATCAATCACTGCTGTTACTAGGAAACCATTGGGTTTTTACTCTAAACAATTGTTATAAATAAGCACCATGCCATGAAATAAGATCCTTGTGTATACTGCCTCTGCTTCCAACATAATTAAGATCAGGAAAAATCTAATTTTGGTGTAATTTGCCAGGTTACATTAAATTATCTTGATGAATCATTCATACCTAATCGCTTTGGACTACAGCTTCATTGCATTCCATGATCCTGAGAGTAAATTTAAATAAAGGATGAAGTAGGCTGAATAATGCTTCCAAGGTCCTGTCCTACAACAGAAGAAAAAAAAAAAAAAAACCCACCACATTTCCTATGTAAGCCACAGGAAAAAAAACCTCCCCTAGTTCTACTGGTGTCTTCAGGTCATGAAGTGTGTGTTAATCAAATTCATCTTATGCTGACTTCAGAAGAACTGTAAAGAAGAGTTAGTTCTGTATTCTTGAAAACAGCTGTGGTACCAAAGAGCTGCAAAATCCACAAACAGCATTCTTCTTCTTCTCTCCTAACCTTTTAAGACCCAAATATGACACAGAAAATACTATGGAAGCAGGAACCTTAGAAAGCTGTGGAACTTAAATTCTTTACTGCAAAACCTTTTCCTGTATCTTTAGTTTCAAAATCCTTACTGCTGACATAAAGCGTAACTGTGGAGATGCTACAATATCTAAGACTCCATCAGGCTGATCAGCTGTATGAATATTAAAATAATATTTAGTAGGAATGCAAATAAAAGAACTGATTTTCATTTAGAATTTCCAGTACGGGATATACTAAATTTTTTTTAAAAGCTGAACAAATACCAAAATTTTGGAAATTTACCACTTAGAAGTCTTAAGCCGACTTGGAACCATTGGACTATTTCATTGTTTTACCACCATTATTTTTTGATTCATTTTATTTAAATATATTAATATAGTTCATTGTTTTTAAAAAAATGTAAGTCAAAAGTAAACATGTTGCATAGAGCCATTCTTTCCTGAACTCATAAATTCTCTATTACCCATAGCTTTCTCCTTTCATTTGGACTGATATCCTCTATTCTTTTTGTTATTATTTCCATGAACTGATGTCATACTGTTCAGCTTGAGCCTCAACCAAGTGTCTTAGATTTTTTTGGCTCTATTGAGTGTGTCTTTTAATCTTTTGGATCTGTCTGTCTCTCTCTCTTTGACTACATGTCCTAGCAGTCAGGGAAGAAGAGGTCACTTATCCTCGTTAGCCCCTTTGGTTACAGAATGGCTAAAAACAGCCCTGTTGTGAGATTTAGCACCTACAAGTTTTCTTTTAAAAAACTTTAAGGGATGTGCTAGCAGCTGAGGCATACATCCAGGAAATGGAAGACCTGAATTTAATTTCCTTTTTAACCTTAATAGGTTCAAATTCATCTTCTATGTTCTAAGAGACTATCTTAATACCTTAGCTAGAAATTAGTTTAGTAGGGGCACTCTTCATCACTGTATTGAAGCTGTACTATTCTACAGCAGCAAATTCAAAATTAATTATATGACATACAGTACATGATACAAATGGGCCTGAGTTTAGGGAACTCCTTTGGTTGGCAAGTGTCTACTCCTGCTCATTTGTGGGGGGACTGTTTGTGTGGTTTACATTTTTTGGGTAAAATACATAAAGAGAATGGAGGAAAATGGTACCTTGACATATTTTATTTATCTTTATTGCTAAGAAAGAGAAAAATTTTACATAGCAAAGCACATGGCTGGATTAGCAGGTCCCTATGGCCCTTAAAATATGTATGATTCTAGCTTCTGGGCAAAAAGAAAACAAGCACTTACATCCTTAGAAGGAAAAAAGCCAGATTTGGAACACAAAATTAAAACCTACAATGATGCAATTTTCTATGTTTAGGTTTGCATTAAATTAAAAAAAAATGTAACAGTAATTGTGATGCAAATCCCAAATAAAAGTAAAAGTGCATGAAGGCCTCACTTAATATCATGGTTAAAAGTTGGTCAAAGCAATAAAGCATTTAAGACTATTCTCAAACAATGTATTATCAGTGCTTTTGCTTTGCAGCTTAGAAATCACAGCCACCGTACATTTTAATTCAGTTTGGTGCAAAAGCTTCTTGAAGCAGAAAACATTTAAACCTGGCATCTCAGTCAGGTTTTGCTAGCCAAAGTCAATTTAACCCAGTGAATGAATAGTAAAAATATGCATACAAAATTCATCCTGCTTGGTCGTGCTATGAAAGGGATTTTTATGACCATTAACGTGCCACTGGGAATTCAGTCTCTAGTTTTATTGTCTCCAGTGTCACTGAGATGTACCTTTTATTCTGTTTTTCACTGAGTTGTGGGTTTTTTCTCTCTTGGTCCCAGTATTGCTCGGAAAGACTCATCTTGAGGGGGATCTTTTTTTTTTTTTCATGAAGCAGTTGGTAACATGTTATAGCCAAACTTTTCCAAATAGAAGTTAAGACAAAGTTTTGCCAAATCTGGTGAACATCGTTCTTGGTTCCAGAACTACTGGGGCATTCTAGAAAGCTGCTAACTGTTTTGAAACGTTTGAACGAGAGCCGAGTTCTTCGGTGTTTGTGTCTATACTCTGTTACAGCTCCTTAATATCTCTGCGAATGAAGGAAAAATATGATTTTGCATTCCTACGTACAATACATGTATTAAAGACGTTTTTAAAAGCATTATCCAAAACCATTTTAAATCCAGGCTTCAATGTACATTTCCAAAAAACAGAGAATATACGTTGCATGGAGATACGCACTTTGGAAATTAACCTTTTCTTACTAATTAAATCTCAATTTCAAAGGGGAATTTTGAGATAGGAAAATGATCAGGTTACAGAGTCGGGTCATAGGAGTCATAGGAGTCATCTTCTGAGTTTGGTCATCGGCTTTTTAATGGCTTTTCACACATGGTTTCCCATCTCGCTGGCTGCGAGTGAACAAGCCATGGTTATATGAGATTCACAAGCCCGTCTGAGAAAACATCTCGCACATCCTCTTCCCAACCAGTATTTGCCCACGTGGACCATATCCCACCTCCAGCTCATTTTGAAATGATGAGGATACTGTGTTTACCTGACAAACTGGCATCCTATTTGAAAGACAGTAAGTGTGACAAACCCCTTTGAAACTGCTGGCATTACTTCCACCACTTAAGCAGGGCTTCAGATTAAAAAGAGGAGCATCAGTTCTTTGGCAGCTCTAACTAACAAATGTAACTGAGATTTATAGAGTAGCAAATATACAGATGTGATAGCCTGCAATTTAAAAAAAATTCCAACTCTGAATTATGACCTTCCGCCTCCGCTGGGCATCCGCCGCCCGCGTGTGCCCTCAGGCAGGGGCAAAACCCTCCTCTGCAGCCCCAGAAGTCCGTGTCCATGGCGAAAGGCTTCAAGTAAATTAAAACTCAAAGCCCGGTTACATCTTTTGTGTCCCTGTCGTGTGTGTCCCCCCCGCCCCAACAGGTCACAGCCTCGGCTCGGCGAAGGTGTCCCGGGCGCAGACGTTTCCCAGCTACCCCTCGGAGCAGGGCGAGGAGCACCCGCAGTCCCTCTCGCTGGCCAGCAGCTACGCCTTCAGCTACGGCTCGGGCCTGGTGCAATGACAGCCGGGGGCGGCCGGCCGAGAGAGACAGTCGAGCCTGGAGCCTGCCGCCAGGGCCGGGGAGCCGCTGGCCCCCCTCCGCACCCGCCATTTGCCGTGAAAACTGATGCCAACCAGCTCCAGCCGGGTCGCCGCCACCGCGGAAACCCGGAGAGGCGGCTTCCCCGAAGCAGAGGCTAAGTCTTTATTTATTTTGCCATTCCTTTTGTCGATACGTTCAGAAAGGAAGGGGGGCGGGGGGCGGGGGGGCGGGGGACGCGTTCGTGTTGTGAGAAAGTGGTGGAAACAAACGAAGCTGTGTCAGTGTGAAGGTTTCTGCATGACCGGAGAAGGCCCGCTTTGGGGCTCCATCGCGATGCTACGTTCGACGCCGGGGCCTTCCTACCCGCCTCCACCAGCAGGCCGGCCCATCTTCACCCGTAATGTTTTTATGTCCTTGCCGCAGCCCGCTGATTCCCGCCGGAGTCGCTGAAATGTCGCCAACTCAAGACGCAGCGTCGGCGCCGCGGACGTTGCCTTCAGATCCAAGCGAGTTCGCTCATTACCCTAGAGGGTGGTCGGGTGCTTTTTGAGCCAGACGCCAACAGATAACTGGAGTAGCAGGCTAATATGGTTTGTTGGGAATAGAGTTTGATGTGTTAAGGTAAGGTTATTGCCTGGTACGGCTCTAATCTTAAATTCCCGGGGCACAAGGCATCCCTTAATAATACACGCGCAATTCTCACGATGCCCCTGAGAGCTGTGAACGTCCATATCAGCAGCACAGTCTTGTCCTCAGAACTGCCGCGAAGTCTTCTTATTTGCAAATTACTTAGGTAACCATGCCTGCAAGCCTAACTTTAAAAAGCGGGAAAACTGTTCTTAAGACAAATAAAAGCGGGCTGCATCCCTGGCTGGCAACCACCTGTGCCACGGCTGTGCCAGATACGGTAGAGCTGAGCTCTGGTCTTGTCTTTCTGGTCAGCGTTACTTTGATTTTCCCTGTTTTCTTCTCAGATTTCTGTTTTAGATGCATATTGTATCTTGTATGATCATGTGTCAAGCATCGGTTTGCTTTGAAAAGGAGGAAGATTACCTCTCAATGGAAATTTTCTGTCTTTGGAAGACGTCTTTAAAAAAATGAACTGTAGTAGGTGTGTTTGTAATTGGTAACGAGGGAATAAGTTGGAAGGCATACCTGTAGGTGGGGAACAAGTTTTAGCTATCCTGAACATTTAGATTTTTGTAAGTGGTATTCAAATAGTTATGTACTTCTCACGATGCCCTGAAATGTTTGGAATTGTGGGGAGAAAAATGTGCCCTCTTGCTATGATCTGAGCAGCCTTGTGTTCTGTTCCCAGTGTGAAACAATTGCCATGGTTACCAGAGGGATTCGTCTCATTAGTTGTTTCTCAGGACAGGTTGAGGAAGCGTATCAAGGAGGAGATACATAGACTCTTTTCCAATGAAACAATCAGTTTTATGTACCATAATTTAACTGAAAAAGTGCTGTTGGGTTGTTTTATATATGCACATATATATATATATGTATTAAAAAGTACAGAAGAAACTTCTGCTTTTGATTAAACATTTACTGATACAGTATGTCCGGCTTTTCTCCAACCATTTTCCAGGCTAAAAGACCTTGCAGAATTACAGCTTTCTGCACCCCAGTGAACAGCTGCTGAATAAAAAAGCTTTGTGATCCGCTTGAATGGAACACTTCTACCCCACCACAATCAGCTTTATTTATTTTTCCTTTTTCCCTGTCTCATTCACTACCTCTTTTCCTTCTCACAGTGCTGCCATACTCAGGAATAGAACGGCTCCCTACAGAGAGTATTTTGATGAGCTAAAAGGAAAAACTGCTCTCCCACACTGTCAGGGAGCTGTACCTATGGTGCTCTCTGAGCTGTACCCATCAAGGAAGCTCCATTCACACTTTCATTTAAGAAAAAATTTGGTTGACATTTTGTTTTGGGAAATTTCCAGTTTGCAAATGTTACATGCAAAATGTGATACGAAAGGATAGATACTCTGCTGGTGTAGTTCAGTGCAGCTTTGCCAAATATATGCCTTTTGAGGAATTGGCCAGTTATTTTTATTCCTATGCAACTGCGATTCTTTCACTTGCCCTAAAATTATGTATTTTCTTTAAAATTCCTTAAAGTTTCCACTGTGTTCTGCAGATTTCTATGCTGTGTCCATGTAACTGTTTTCCTCTGGGACTTGAATACTAGTCATTTAATGTTTACATATTCTACATAGTCCAAAAGTGGGGAAAAGGCAAAACAGGAGAGTATCAGAACTGCTTTATAGTTCCAGTGCCCATACACATATAAGAACCTGTCTAAATCCTAAAGCTAGTGCTTTAGCTGTGTTTAGATAAAAAGCATAAGATCTATATAGTGCGTGCTTTCCATTTCCTGGGGAACAGTTGCTGTCTGTCACAGATGATTTTGTCTTCCTGTGCAGTGCATGAATATTGTCTAGTTAATGAAAATGTAGATGCTATTTCCAAAGAAAACACATAAAAAAGGGGGGGGATGGGGGATTGGCCATGTAAAGGAGTTTTACTAAATAATTTGCTTTCATTACATAATGCAACTACCCACTCAATTCATATGTTTATAAACATCTGCGAAGTCCCATCTCGTAGCAATAGGCAGAAAACTGAACTCCAGGACAAAGCTGGAGAACGCAACCAACAAAAAGCAAACCTGACCTATTGGGAACCTATTTCTTGTCAAGAGTAAACACAACCACACTTGAAGTTGAAAATAAGGATGCAACTTCACCGTGTACTGTAACACAATCTAGGAAAATTGGGCACCCGAAGCACAAAGGTATTCAGCAGCCAGTGGATGTTGCCTTTAGTGCCACTCCAGAACAGCAGATGATATCACTGTAACATTTGTGTACTTGCATAGCTTCCAGAAATGTTCCTCAGAAAAGCTCCATGAGAAGCAGGCAGGCACTGCACCAACAGTTTGCCAGAAAATTCTGTTTTCACGGAATTGCTTTAATTCCTGGCATATGCCTGTCGATAATCTAAGTGATTCCCCACTGAGACTACTTTGTACAGCTCCTAGTGCTTCCGCCAGAAGGAAAACTCTCTTTCGGCACACGTGGTAGAGCTGCCTGCCTAGAGACTGCAAGGGCCTTTAAATAGGCCCAGGGACCCCATGGGACCCTGTTCAAGTCTCGGCTTTCTTCATGTGCAAGGCACACAGATAATACGTCTACTCCTGACCCAAGAGGAGCTCTCTGTTTTCAGCTAATGAGCTGTGAAGAGTTGGAGGGCAACAAAAATGTCTTCAGTGGTAACTAGGTGCGACTGATAAAATAGAAGAAATAATACAAGGCTATAGCTTTCATTTTGGTTCTGAGGATGTGTTATGAATATATAACTGTAACCATGATTTAAATTCTTAAAAAATGACCCTTGATAACAATATATTCACCCCTACGAACAAATAGCACACAGCATTATTAAATATAGTTACTAATATATCTTAACTGTGAATCTTATAGTTTGATGCATGCTGGTACTTTTGATTTTGAAGTCACTTGGTGCAGAAAAGGAGAAATTGAAGGAGACTGGTAATAAACCATCAAATGGTACTAAGGTACTTGAGTAGCCCCATTTTTTAAACAGCTACATGTTATTATTGGCAGTTTAAATCAACTGTGAGTATATTCCTTTGAAACAATTTTGCCTGCCTATGTAAAGGAAAAAGAAAAGATATCTTGTAACTTGGAGTTTGCTGTTTTACTGAGTAAATGTTTATGCTTTACTTTTTGTGGTAGGCTCTGATTCCAGCTGCTCACATGTATCAGGTCCATGCAAAATTCTGCTCCTGGGGGTTTTTGTTGGGGTTTTTTTTTCCCTAAAGCTAGCAAGTAAAGCTTGGAAATGTATTGACAAACCAAAGAAGTTTGTTAGACAGCAACAATAGCTGCACTCTTTTGTTTTGACGAAAGTCTACCATGACATTTTGGGAAAACACTTCGTTTCACAACACATGAATAGAAACTCTGTTCAGAAGCAGCAAACACATTTCTAATCAAGTCTTGTCCTAAGCTAGTAAGACTTTGCTGGAGGAGGGGTTGAAATTGAATATCTGATGTCAAAAGTATTGTAAAGTGGTCTCTATAGCAATAATCTAAGTACAACATACAGCCTTCAGGCACCCATTTATTTAGGAGTTGCTAAGTGCAGGCAGTCTGTGAAGACCCTTACCTGTTCATGGCAAAGAGAAAAAAAGAGCATTAATCAGATCTCTCTACTGCATTTATCAGAAAAGGCATGAACCTCATGCTTGTTCAGCTCTCCAGTCTAATAGGCAATACTATGAGGAGCAGTGATTTTTGAGATATTTGATCTCTAGGAACTGACAAAGACCATCAGCCTGTAGCATATAAAACTCTACTCGGACTTAGCTCACCAGCCACATTTACTAGTTTTAATCTGGTAACCTAGAAACTGCAGGGTAGTTTTTAATGAGAAAATAGAAGTCTCTTGAATGGCTGTGCTTTTAGCATGAAATACAGAATTATTTACAACTGTTTCTTCCTAAAAAGGAAGGAGGAAGGTGTTCCTCTTAATCTCTTTTTTAGTGTTTAATATCAGTGTATTTTAGCTCCTTTTTATACCTGCTGCAAAGGAATAAATGTGGCTTTTATCCCCATGCAGAATAGAGTGGACTGTGGAGAAAGCTGCTGTTTGATTTACAAGAACAGATCCAACAGCACTGGAAAGTTTCATTTTTCTGTACATCATCCAAATACTTGTGACTCTTTCCAAACCAACTTGTTACACAACCTGTATATATTAGAATGTTATATTTTTCACCACAGACAACTGGTCGGGGTGCCTGCCTATGTTTTGTAAGTAGAAGATAATGACTGTGCAACACCATTGTAGTGGCATAACTTTAAAATCAAAGGGTATAAGGTTGGATATATTAATTCTGCATATATAAAATCTTGGACTCCATAAAGCATGCTTTGTTTGTTCTT